CCATTCCTCATGGAGACTCTATCAAGGGTTTTTTTTCTTAGCAACACGGAGCTCGATACCGCTATCTGTACCAAAGGAGTATGAACTGTACTGGGGAATAGAGTCGACCCACAGAAAGTCCATAATCTGCAAGGCTTTAGCATGTTTTTGCGTATCACGAACAAGTGGCGATTGAAGTAATCTTTCAGGCTCACCTGAGACTGGTGCTGTACTTGAGGCAGTGAATTCAAATCCGTTCTCGACTGCACGAGGTTCCATAATAATATTGGTAGGCACGGTTTCTTCATCTTTTTCAAGATCATTTACGGCTTTTCTTTCTGCAGATATCTGCCTTTGAAGAGTTAAGTACCGTCTTTGTTTTTGAAGAGATTGAAGCTCTGCTTCCAACGCTGCAACATCCAGCGGAATATTGGGATGACGAGATCCTTGGCTTGCGACGATGACATCAGTCGCCATGTTAGGCATGTCGTTGATAACCACAACAGGCGTTTCAACATTTTCATTTGCAAGTTGTACAGTCTTACCGCTAGTTAGAGTTTCTCCCGTCGGTTCAGAAACGTTCTCCATGTCTCTTACTCCCTTCACAGTCTTTTTCCTGCTTGATGACATCTATGATTGTAGGAGAAATCCGCTATTAAACTTTTTAAAACTAATAAGCGATCAAGGCTTAGCACGCTAACTGCACAACAAGGCAAGCAAGGCTATAAACAAAACGAGGCTAGCTTATGAATATGCGTGAAGGTCGGGTCAGGTCAGGTCAGCGAGTACACTACAGGTCATAGTTAAAATTAGATTTAACAAAATCTTCACTTTAATTTGTTTCTGTAAGAGACGTATCTAGCAGTTTTCTGATGTGTTTTTTGTTTAGCTCATAATGAAAGTTTCTTCAACATTGGTATAAGGGGAAAGGTCAACACTTGAAACTGGCGCCTGTTTGTCCGTATTGTCTTTACAACTGATCTATTTATAGTAACAATTCCTCTTTCAGCCATTGTGTGAGCTTGACTTTTATATAGTTCCTCTTGTTTTTCTTTCAACAAAATAAACATGAAGAATTTCCTCAAAAGCATAGAATACTGGTCCTATTGACCCTCAGTAAACGATATATTACAACAACAAAATCCAGCACATTTTAGCACATTGTATAGTGTTTTTCTTTTACGTATTATTGTCTAGAGCATGTGCTATCTCATGCTTACGGTGGCTCACATATGACATATTTCACTTTTAATTTTGAATTAAAAACATTAATTTTCACATTGGTGATAATTATTTTCACCTAGATGAAAATTAGGTGATAATTCGTGTAATTTTTAATTGAAATTAGGTGATAATTCGTGTAAGTTTTAATTAAAAACTCTAATTTTCACCTAGGTAAAAAAATAATTTCCATCTAAGTGATAATTCAATGAATCTTGTAAAAATGTTTTTAATAAATATTCTTCAATTATCACACAATTTTCACTCGGGTGAAAATAATTATCACCTAGGTGAAAATTAAAGTTTTTAATTCAAAATTACCGGAATTATCACCTAATTTTCACCTAGGTGAAAATAATTATCACCTGGGTGAAAATTAAAGTTTTTAATTCAAAATTAATTTTCACCTAGGTTTTTATTTCAAATAAAAAGTGGAAAATGTCGTAAGCATCAGATAGCACATCCTTCTCGTATGAAGACTAGATCACAGATCGTGACTACATTGGCGTATTTAATGGGTGACGTCCAGACCCTCGGCCTTAAAAGGCTTCGTCCCTTCGGTCCTCAATACATTGTCTTCATCATCGACCAGAGATCTATAAATAAGAAAGCATACTAAACGATTCCTGAATGTATGCTGTATAAATATAACGATATCTGGTATTGTATTTACTACAGGGAAGTAGTCCTTTGTTTGTCTTCACACGTAACCACACTTAATTCCCCACCTTCTGCAAATGAAATGAAATATTATATTAGCAACATGTCATGCCATTTTGACGTTGAGTGACACTCATGTTTTACGACCAGTAGGTGAAATAAACGATTTCACAAACACATACAAAAATATATTTATATAAACATATTACACAAGTCGTTATTTCTTACTCTTCAAACAACGAGACCACTTTCAGGATCCTTGATCGATTGCATTACCCCTTTCTCCCTACAAATTCTTACTATTTAGTGATTTTCTCATAGGTTTTCGCTGCAATCTCGTTCATGTTGGAGAATACAATCATATAGTCTGAATTCCATGCTACCAGCATCCAAAAATTCAAAATTACCCCAATTATGAAAACCCCTGGTTATATTGGGATTGTATGCTGTTGGTCTTTTTGTACGATTAACGTACAAACGTAAATAAACACTATCTAGAATTTTACGTTTAATCAGGTCGTTCGAATGTTGAAAGCAGCAATATCAAATGGAATCTTGTTAGTGTATGCAATTTCTCAATGGGTGTATTTGAACAACAACTAATCATGAATGGGTATTATATAAGGTTGTATTATACCTTTAACCTGACCATTTAGTATCTCAGACAATCTTTTTCTCTTTTCTTCTATCAAATCAACAGCACAATCATAGATAAATACATACTGAGACTGAAAACAAAATAAAATTTCTATAAACATAGTTTTACCGACTGAGCCATACTGTCTTCAGTTGATGCATAGATTCGAATAACACAATTTTTCCTATGATTTTATAGGTTAATTAAGTTTAATGTTAAGTTTGGTTATTATGAGTTAATGGATATAACGGATTATCCTGCGAACGTTTTGCATGGTATGACACCATGTTTTATGTTCATAATGTTATGATACAGTTTTTTCCGAACTTATAGGCCTAAAAAATCCGAAAATTTATTGTTATCAGTTACCTCCGCTAAATTCGAAAATTTAAATCCTTTTCACATATGAGACCATGAGTTACATAATAAAGTTTTATAATAACTCTATGTATAAGACCAATCACTAATACAGTTATAAGGACACAAACAACCGCAAATTGTAGCCTATCAAATACAACTTTCTCTGTAGCTCTCAGAACGCAGTCCCTATGTCAGTTTAGTGGGGGCGGGACTAAAGCCTGGAACAGATTTTTCTTTTAAAACGGAATTTCAAATGAAATTCAACAAGCATTCTGCACTTAATTGTGTCGTCGATATGCCTAATGGTCAATTTGCTAGACCTTATCAGTATAATAGCCAAATTTGCGATTCGGCCAAGTTCGATCCACGCCATTCGTTTGTTGGTGGACTGAATTCAGTCAAGAAATGCCAAAATTTTCGGTAACATGATGGGTAACATCGAGACAGTGCTATATTCGAAATAACAATGTTGCCGAGTTTTATCCAATAAGAAATGGGATAGTGGGAATAATTCAGTTTATTTGTGATCTAGAGCTATTTTTGGTTCGAAGGTTGTAAGATAGCTCAATCATAAATAACGACAGCATGTATGTTCGCACGTTAGAATTTTTTTTTATGAGATTATCAATTTTATATACACATCTCCAAAACAGAATTCCAGGATCCGATAAAATGAAATGAATGGAGTTTTACGTCCTACTTTTCTGCACCATGTGGGCTAATGCAGACGGGCCGGGATCCGTTAAAGAGCACAATTAAGAAATGGATCGTCAACTATTTATGATCTCAGGAATACAACAATGATACACGATTCTTCTATTCGACTACCTCTTGTCAGTGATGCACGAGAACACGTCTGGTCCATCCGATGAAATCGAGGCCCCACTGTCCAGGCAAAGTTCATAACAGTAGCATTAAAGTGTCCTACCATTCCATATGAATATCAAGTTTAAGTATCAAGTATATATTCAACGTCGAATTACAAAAATGTGAACTAGCAGGCGAACCTACTTACCTCACTCTGTACTATAAGGACTCTATAATCTCGTAACTTCATTATAAAACCATAAATATCTAAAGTATTTTTGAGGTCATGTGTTTGTATATACTGCATTATATAATCTAACACTATAAAAGTACCAGTTCTGCCAACACCAGCACTAAAATATAAATTTACAATCAAAACAGTACCGAGAAAAATGGTATTTTTGTTTGCTTGAGTGTTGGAGTTGAATATCTGATTGGTAAAAAGGACGGAATCTAAAATGGTGCTTGATTATTTTATATCTACCTGCAGTGCACCACAATAGGTCCGTCCTGCTGTGGTGTTATATGTTGTCTAATAGTAGAAATAAATTCCAGAATATCATGTCTCTCAATAGATGCTGTCATATCTTTCCATGTTAAAAAATGAAAATGTTTCACAACTCGCACTTCACTCTAAAAATATAGAACCATACAACAACATACAACTCTTCCTCTTTATACATATAATTAGACCGTAACCTACTTATTTTTCATCCAATCCAATCAGCATTGGCTAAATTTTCTATTACTTATTTACTAAGAATGTGACATTTGATTTCTAGCGTAAGGTTCTGTCCCTTCGCTCGCAGCACCCACTGCCTTACCACGAAAACTTAAATGTGAAATTCCTATTACAATAGTATGCCTATAGCCTCTTTTTCATGATTATTCAGACAAACTCGATTACGCACAGATTTGCAAACAATCGAATAATAAAATCCACGTCATTTGAACTAAATTTACAATTTGCGAGATGTCAGACGATGTCAAGCAGATGAAAGCCTGCTGTTATTTACAGTTGAATTTAAATAGTGGCGAGATTGTTGTATCAAAGCTACGATTACATGTTTACGTAAGCGTAAATCAAACTCAAACTCAAACTCAAGCTCTTGCTCTTGCTCAAACTCAAACTCAAGCTCACACTCAAGCTATTGAGTATGCATTTGAGATTGAGTTTGCGTTTGCGTACTGTACCTGAGTCTTCGTTGTTAAATGTAATACACTACAAGTATATGTATTAATCGTAGAAGATGAAGTGTTTTCTACTCTAATATCACCATACACTACCGCGTCACCAAATTCACTAGGCCAGTATTGTGCACATTTTGACTGAAACAATAAATGACAACGAAAGGTATTCAAATGAAAACAAGATCAAATTCGGAGATATTCGAGTTTTGTAAAAAGGTCGTTTTTGCTTTCAATCTTACTTTACATGAGATCGAGTGGGTTATCTCAACCATCAATATCCAAGTCACCTTCAAAATCTAGAAAACCCACAATTGCTTATCTATGGGAGAACCAATCATACATTCAATGGCCATTTAAAGGGGGTGGGGGCACGGTCAATTTTGTCTGAGTTCTGTCCAGACAAACGGATATACGTATATACATACCCGACCACTTTCTTTACAGGACGTTAACATAACAATAATAGTAACATTGTACTCCCATATCATTCTCCAGAAATCATTGATGGTTCCAGGAAGTGGTCCTTGGGTAGCGATATATTCCTTACTACTGTTAAAACCCTGTAATATTTATGGTAAAAATCTTAGATTGACATGCAACATGCAGCAAACAGGCGTGTTGGAAATCCCATACAATATCCGTCACGGCTCCAAACAGCTCAAAAATTTATAATGTATACTATGAGAATGGAAAGGGAACACTTGATATGTACGAAAGCCGGGTCAGGACTTCCAACTTCCGACTTCCAATTTTTTTTTTCACTTTATATCGATGAGATCTTGGACAAGTTCGATATTCACGATTTTTCGATGAACGGTTTTTGAGTTATTGCCCTTGACTTAGCCAAAACGCGTCAAAATTGGCTTGTGAACGTGATAGAGACTACAGTTTTCATCTGATTTGAATGAAATTTGGTGTGATCATTTATATTGATGAGATCTTGGAAAAGTTCGATATTCACAATTTTTCGATGAACGGCTTTTGAGTTATTGCCCTTGACTTAGCCTAAACGAATTGAAATTGGATTGTGAACGCAATAGAGACTACAGTTTTCATCTGATTCGAATAAAATTTGGTGTGATCATTTATATTGATGAGATCTTGGACAAGTTCGATATTCACAATTTTTTGATGAACGGCTTTTGAGTTATTGCCCTTGACTTAGCCTAAACGAATTGAAATTGGCTTGTGGACGCAATAGAGACTACAGTTTTCATCTGATTCGAATGAAATTTGGTCTGATCATTTATATATTGATGAGATTTTGGACAAGTTCGATATTCATGATGTTTCGTTGGACGGATTTTATACGCCCACATATAATGTGGTCGTATATTGTCGTAACTTCTGTCCGTCCGTCGGTCCACAATTGGCTTGTTATCTGATTTTAATGAAATTTGGTGTAATCATTTATATTAATGAATTCTTGGACAAGTTCAAATTTGATGATATTTCGATGAACGGAATTTGAGTCATTGACCTTGACTTAGTAAAAACGCATCAAAATTCGTTGGCTTGTTAAAGCGATAGTTTATGTCAGAATTTTATTGAATATTGTGTGTTTGATTAAATCAACTATATCTTGCACAAATTAGATATTTGGTATGATTTGACACAGATTGGTGACCGCCCTTGATATACTGAAAATGTATCAGGAAAGTATCTTGCTAGGCAACCACTTGTTGTGTCAAGTATCCCTGTTTCAGTAATTTCACGGTTAATATTCGACCTCTTGCCAGAAAGCCCTTATAAAGAGAACAAGCTCTAGCATAGCGGACCGGTTGTGAAACTCTGTTATCCTCTGTTGAATCATACCTTAATTTGAACGTGCTTGAGGACTCTTAGATATAAATTAAACCAAATTTTATTGAGATCAGATGACAACTGTGACTTCTATCGCGTTAACAAGCCACATTGGATATGATCACAAAAGCGTAGGCTTAATTACCAGCTCGCTGGAGGAAAAAACTTGGAAGTCCGAAGTAAAAAACTTGGAAATCGGAAGTGAAAAAAAACTTGGAAGTCGGAAGTAGGAAGCGAAAAAAAAAACTTGGAAGTCGGAAGTTGGAAGTCCTGAACCGGCATCCAAATATTATCATTATCCAGTCAGTTAGTTTAGGCGTTTCAAGTAATTAATCACAAACTTACTGGTAGAAAATTTGCATTAATATAATCACTATGACTATTATCTTCCTCTCTTATCGGTAAAACTACACGACTATGGTCAACTGTAATGTAATATGTGATGTTTAACAATTATACTTTTCGAAAGTAAAGTTTACTAAAGTTTACTAAAGTTTTTCCGTCGAAAAGAATCATACAAATTTGCCTTCCCCAAGAAGATACAAAGAAGTAAGAGCATGCGTTTCTTTAATCACTCGGTGACTGAATGAAATTACTGTGATCTTTTCATTTCAATAAAAAAAATTCTAAATTTTTCTTAGTTTATTGAATTTGAACATCTAGAAGTAATTTTCTGTTCTTTAACATAATATCGTCTTTCATGTAGGCCTACATGAGTGGTCTATTTGATCATAATCGTATAATTGTATATTGTTATAATTAAAAACTTACATGGATGTACATTAAGGAATCTGTTTTTCTCTTGATTCTCGTCTTTTTGTGCTTGGGAACAGCCGTGAGAAGGAGCAGTTTTAGATAGGCACTGCAAAAAATGGTAGTTTTTAAACGGGATGTTAAGGTCAAATCATAGTTCTATGGTCAAATCCACTGTTGTTTGTAGTTACGGTATTGTTTCAGTTGATTAATTAGAGTTCTCTTTCTAGTTTTGGAAGGAGACTCTTTAACAGAGCCTTTGAATATAGTCTCTCCTTTTTACGGCTTTATTCGAGACTATTTCGTCTTGGTGATCTGGTCTAAAGCAAAGTTTACCGATCATAAGACTCGCTCTAGATTCAGTCTTTAATATTTTGTAACATTTACATTATTGACCAATCATTACCATTTATTTCAGTGCAATGTTGTGGCAAAGTCATGCCAATATGCCCCTAATGCTGCATCGCACCCCGATCACACCCGATGCGATATCGACACGAAACGAAGCAATATGACTTAGTAATGTGTCTTAATTACTCACAGCAATTTTCAGATCTATTAGACACTCCACACTATGTTAAATCAGTCGCCCCAGTACCCCTATTGCTGCTTCGCACCCCGATCACTTCCGATCGCAATATCGTAACGAAACGTGACATGACTTAGTAATGTGTCTTGATTACTCACAGAAATTTCAGGATCAGACACCCTATACTATGTTAAATCAATCGCCAAAGTCACGCCACTATGTCCCTATTGCTGCATCACACCCCGATCACTTCCAATTGCGATATCGACACGAAACGTGACAATATGACTTAGTAATGTGTCTTGATCAGACACGATCGTTCTGAAAATTTCTGTGAGTAATCAAGTCATATTGCCAATATTTTCATTTCCGGAAATGCACGAAAGATAGGTTAGCACGAAATTAGGTTACTTGACTGTATATTTCAGTCAATCTTACACATGATACGCAAAGATATGGTTAGAGATATTAGATGTAAAGAAAGAAATACATATAAAGACAATTATAGGAGTATTTGAGTTGACGTCACATCCGGGAGTTTCCCCGTCTAAAAATAGGCTGGCCGTCAAGCGTCAATGAACGTTGACTTGTGTAGGTTGCTGTAACCGTGACAGAAAAACAAATAATCTGAAGTTACATCGTATTCCAGGATGATATGATTAATTAAAATTAAATACTTGTATGGTGTGAGAACTATTTATTAGGATTTTTTTTCTCAAACCTGGCGTGTGCCTAGGTGAACTTCATTTGTTTAGGTAAGCACGCTCGCTGATTTCGACGTGTAGACCTAGGGCTAGATTTGGCTGAAGATTAATTAGATAACAAAAATTGTTGTATTTTATCTGGTACCAATCCCCAAATTAGAAAGCTGAAAGTAACCTAAAGACAAATTTTTCATAGATTTGGTACCGAACATTTGCCGAAATTACACCAGACAATGTCCGTGTCCGGGCGCTTTTTCATCGGCTTCTATTATTGTTAAACGCGAATTTGACACAAAATCACTAGATAACGGTTTGAGAAATGTGTGGAATGTAGATAATGAACCAATTGGTCATTTTTATACGCCCACATGAAATGGGGGGCGTATATTGCCGTCACCCATGTCGGTCCGTCCACAATTGCTCGTAAACACTCTACAAGACACAATTCTTGACGGATTTTGACAAAACTTGGTATGAGTGTTCTTATTCACCCAAGGATCAACCCTATTGAAAATCAGAAGAATCGAAAAATATTTAGTATAAGTTATTGCCCTTGTTCTTGAAAACGCGTTAAATTTTTAGCTAGTAAACACTCTAGAAGAAACAATTCTTGACGGATTGTAACAAAACTTGGTGTGAGTGTTCGTAATCACCCAAGGATGAACCCTATTGAAAATCAAAAGAATCGAAAAATATTTAGTATGAGTTATTGCCATTGTTCTTAAAACGCGTTCAATTTTTAACTCGAAAACATTCTAGAATGCTCAATTCTTGACAGATTTTGAAGAAACTTGGTGAAATTGTTTATTATCACCCATGGATGAACCCTATCGAAAATAAACAAAAGTCGAAATATGTTTTATAGGAGTTATTGACCTCGTTATTTTATCTCTTAAACACTAAAAGGCATGATTCTTGTCGGATTTTGACAAAACTTGGTTTTATTATTCAGTACCGGGCTGAAGATAGAATATTTGCCTTCTTGAGTTTTCAGTATCGCCCTAAAGTGTTCAAAAGAAGTGTATGACTGAAGGTTGAATAGAAGGAACAATTCTTGACAGATTTTGACGAAACTTGGCATGAGTGTTTGTTATCACCCAAGGAAACCCTATTGAAAATCAGAAAAATCGAAAAATATTTAGTATGAGTTATTGCCCTTGTTCTTGAAAACGCGTTCAATTTTTAGCTCGTAATCACTCTAGAAGGTGCAATTCTTGACGGATTTTGATGAAACTTGGTGTGAATGTTCATAACCACCCAAGGATGAACCCTATTGAAAATCAGAAGAATCAAAAATATTTAGTATGAGTTATTGCCCTTGTTCTTGAACATCATACTCAATATTATTCCGTATCGCCCTAAAGAGTTCAAAAGAAGTTATGACTGAAGGTTGAATATTTCATACTGGTGATTGTTACTGTACTGCTAAATATTTTTATTCAAAATCAGTGGGCGTATATTACCTTGCCTGACAAGCTATCTTTCAGGATACAAATTAGGTGTTAGGAAATGCCAGAATTCATGATTTTGCAACATTTACTTCCAGAGCTTCATAGACCCCCGGCAGGTTTTGTCAGCTTTTTTTCCCTTGCAAAATCATGCCCGATTTTGCTTGACAATACGAGAAGAGAAGAGAGCTATATATTTTTTTTAAGTACCTCATAATGCAAGGAAAATAAAAGGTTGTCATTTTTATGTAAAACTGTGACCACATCTTTCAAATCTCTCATAACAATAGGCCTGAAAATTTAAAATATGGCAATATCAGTATGGAATGGGGAAGACAACAAATAAGCTACGCCTTCTCAAAAAGCATGAGAACCTAACACACTTTCCATCCACTTTTAAATTTTCTTCATTAAGAATTTCCCAATGGACTGACAGCTAGCGATAGGTTCTAAGTGAGGTTTAAAGTCGCTTGGCCCACTTCTTAATTTCTATACGAGGATCTTTGATATTCGACAACCCAGTCGTAAACACAAATGCGTTTTTAGTTTGCAATCCTTTCCGACAAACGAACTAAACTAACATTTCTCCTTAAAAGGTACTTACTCTTGTTTACTGAGGCCGCCTAAATCCAATTTGGTTATTCTAGAAGCTTGTCGTGTTACATTAGATGATCTGAAATATTTATTACCCATTGATGATATGCGTCTTTATTTGACATTGACGTTACGGAAACATTTCTATTACACATTCTATGATGACTACTAAACTTTTGTAAATATAATTTGTAGGTTACCTAAAATAATTTCCTTATTATCCGCTCTAGTGAATTACTAGTGGGCTGTTTCTGTAAGTACAGGATGTGAGCCTATATGAATTTTACCAATTCAAAACCTAAATGAAGGTCTACTACTATAGCAACATTGCTCATTAAGAACCGAAAACAATACAAGTCTATAAATAAATGGCCTGATGTTTGGAATCAGAAACAGTACAATTAGTATAATAATGTAAGACAACACTCTATTATTTCATCAGTACTTATCTACATCTTTATGTTAATCATCTTTAAATCTTTAAACTATTGATTTTTTTCTTAAGTCTTAAGTCTGTAAATCAAATCATGGATTTCTTTACATGTAAATTACCCAAAAACAATTGTAATCAAGCCTAGAAAAACATTGTAGATGTGAACAACGAAACAATACATTATGTACATTCGTGATCTCTTTAAGATAATCCACTATGATGCTTATTTTGTAGTTAACCTATATAGACAGACGATATAGACCCACCTGTTTTTGTAATACACACCATATACAATTAATATTACAATTAACAAAATAACGACTGGAATCATAAAATAATATCTTCCTTCTCCCACTCGACCTAATAATACATAAAACAAACACCAAAGTAATTCTACTTCACAATCAATCGGCTTCTTGGGGATTTATATTTTATATACACTTTTATCACACTGATGACGAATGGTAAAGGTTTTACCATGCAAACGTATTCAATGTTATACCTATTATTTATTGACCAATGTTAGAGTAATAAGGGAGGAAACTCGTGATAAGTATTTCCAAGATTAATTTACATGAAGAATTATTTCCAATGTTTAATAATAAAAATGTGCGTATTGCCACTTTAAGAGAAACGCACTGTTAGGATTAAAATTTTACCTGGAGTAAACGATTGTATTGTAGTCATTGGTGAAAATGACACGAATGGTGTGGATTGGTCTGTATTCTGTGGTGATGTTTGTGGTTCTTCAGGTGTTGTTGAAGCCGCATCCGTTGTGTCAGTTGAAATATCGTTTGTTGTGTCCGGGATCGAAGAGGTAGAAGCTTCCATTTTTTCAGTTGTAATGTCTTTTGTTGTGTCTGGTATCGAAGTGGTAGAAGTTGGCCCATACGATGATGTTGTAGAATATGTCATAGAGACACTGT